TTACGAGCTTGTCCACCTTTGAAAGTATCAATTTAGGATCATTTTGTATACCATATTTATGAAACTGTTCAGTTGTTCCAAAGATCATTTCTTGACGATTTTAAGCTGCTAAATCATACAAATAGTTCTCTTTTCACTTTCATCGTTTTCTAATTTGCAACCACTCAAAACAGGAGTACAGGGCAGTTGTCTATTGAGAGTAACTTGGACTCAAGGACCATTAGGAGTAGTACTAATGCTCAACTGTATCGGGAGTATATGCCTTCAGTATGGCAGGTAACCATATTATATATGAAAATCTTGTGTATAGCCAGCATATTCTTTTGTTTTTTTGGTGTTCTTCGTTTTTAGTTAAAGAGAAAGGATCCATTGTGTTCCATATAGCATAGCAACCTAAGAATGCAAGAGTTCAAATGTTCTAGCTAAATTTTAGTACAGCCACTTCACTCTATAGTAGAGGGTTCTCTTGCATCTGCTTGTGCCCTATCAGAGAAAGAAATTCTAGCGATGGTTAATGGATATCTTTTCCTATCTAAAAAAATCATTTGTTGGGCATCTTGTTCAGGCTAAGCATTATAATAAACTATTTCTTTTTAAAGTTATAGTGATTTGTTAATAGAGATGAACTGAGAAAAGTGGAGGACGAACCATCCTGATTGAAGTGTTGGAAGACAATGTGGACCTAAAATCAATTTAGCAAAATAAGGAACATAATGGAAGTAAAAAATTCATATAGGAGAAATATATTTGATTCAATATTTTTTTTGACAAAGATATTAGATTCAATATTTGCTAGGAATCTTTTAGTTTTTTTTCTTAAAAACAATTTTGCCTGTCAATGGAAACAGAAGAGAACTCAAAAGGGCCATGTTTTTGAATTTTGGGATGGAATGGGTTCAACTGAAATGGATATAGTAAGGATTCATACAGCAGATCCAATAGACATTGGGGCCAATTTTTTTCCACTTTTCCCCTTGCTAACACTTGAAAAGAAATAGGACGATGTGGTACTCTTCACACACCCCTCATACCCAGTTCTGGACATTTGGTGCGTGGACAATTTAGTATGGGGCCCAACATCGGAAATGAGAAATGGAATAGGTCCTGCTCTAATACCATGTAAAGAAATGAATTTTGGCCCTAACTCAACCTCAAGCTGAGGATTGCCCAAGCCATAATAAAGAGACCTCTCATCCCTAAAGGGACAATGTGGGGCTCTTCACAGCACTGAATGTGTGTCGTGTTAATTTCTTGCAAATATAACATAGGGTGGAAATATTTCAGTTTTAATATCTTGCAAATATATAGTCGGATGGAAAGACTATTATATTGAAAATGTTGTGCTAAAGGAACAAAATCCAGAAACTAAAACAGAAACAATCAAAGAATGGTGGAGTTTCTGCCGAAATTGGTGGTTCTTGCAAGTGATGGTTTATTACGAATCAGATGGAATTTGAAATCTTCCACTATAGACCTTGAATGTTTGGAAAGTCGGACATAATTTATGAAAGAGAGTGTCAGTAACTTCCCTTTCTCCTGGTATGAATAAAGTTTGGACTGTGATGTATAGATGAGAAATAGGTAACAGAAAGGCACTATAGCTATATAGGAGTAGTTGCAAATTTTCATAACACCTCTCTGGTTGAACATCAAAAGAAATGTTAATGCATGGTATGTTGATTCAGGGAGCAGCAAATTTAGTTTGATAATTTATTCATTGCAGCTTTTTGGATGAAGTCGGAGACAGACTTTTTATGCTGGGAAAGTTTTTGTTTATGAAATGCTTTTACAAAAAATAAGCTTGGAAGAACATGTGTATTTCTCTTTCAGAAGAATGTCTGAGTACTTGGTGTATTTTCCCTTTGATGTTTTGACCTTAAACATCAGGAATCATGAGCTTCTGAAATTAGTGCTCCATAAATTGATGCTTTTTCATTCTGTCAAAATCGATTTTACGGTAGACACTTATGACCTCCCCCTCTATGTCTTGCGGTTGCAGCCTTTGACAAGAATCCCAGGTTCATTGTATTTTTGAAGTTACAGTTTATTAACAACGTGGGCATAAAGAGGCACCTGTATAAAAGAAGTATTCCAAAAAGTAGAAAACCTACAAAAAGATGGTTTTATACAAACGACACCCAATCATCTATATATAAATGAATGTGGGAGATTTGACAGGAATCCACATTTATATAACTGTTTTTCTTCAATTGAACATTGGACTTTAAGGGGTTCATTAACCTTGATAATCTTTTCTGGTTGTTGCAGTCCTTTGTTTCACATAGAATACTTGTGCGACCTTCAGGTATGGCTCAAAACATTTAGGCCAAGACAATTTCTTGCTCTTATGATGAATAAAAAGTTGGATTTCTCGTTGTGCTGCAGATGATAGTAAATATCCAAAGCAGCCCACCTATTTATCGGAATGGCTTTTGCCATCCTTGAAGTTATCAGACAAATTTACAAGCAATGATGTATGTGCAATCTAAGATTTGAGTTTTTAAAATGATGTTCCATCTGTATTCGAGAAGTCATTCTCCTGCTTCACTGATGTGCTTGCATCAACATATAGGAATCGTGAAATTCACATGATTGTAGACTGGCTTTTCTCAACCTGAGGTCAAGTATTCAAACTGAAGCCCAAAATGAAATTCCGAAAATGTCGCTTGCTCTTCTGGCAGTAGTTTCAACTGTAAGTTAATTTTGTTCATGTCCCTCTCTCTTCATATATACTTGGTTTGGTGTGGATATATTTTATTCAATTACTCTCTGTGGCATGCTAAAGGAAGTGAGATGCAATTATGGAAGCTTTCTACCTATTCAGATTCTAACGAGATGCATACCATATTGAGACATGTTCGGCATGAAATGAACCCGGAAGGGAAGCCACAGGAGCAGGAATGGAGAAAAAGCGAAAGAGGAAAGGTGTTTTCCCATTCAATTGATCAATTCAGAGTTGGTCCAAATTTTAGAGTGATGTGATAGGTGATTTGTAGGACTCAAAGGTCTTTGCAAGTTCTGGCAACCTGAGAGAAGATGACATCCATCTGCTTTCCACCAGCCAATGTAAATGACAACCAAGGCAAGAAAGAACAGACGTTAAATAGTTCTCGCGTAACTTGCTGATTCTTGAATGTTTTCTGAGTTTGTGACACAAATCTGGAGAAGAGGAAAAACTGGACAGTGAAGCAAAAGCTGGAGAAAGAAGTTAAAGCTGCATTTTTTCCAATTGGCAATCTTTCGTGTTGCTTTTGTGATGTTTTGTATATAAGATAATAACTAGGAATGGCAAGAAGTCTTGTTTGGGGAGTTCTTAGGATATATGCTGTGTTTTTAGATAAATTAATGAAATGACTCGATTCGCTGACCAAAATGGTCATTGGGACAAAATTTACTCGTACCTTGTATTTACACCAAGCATATGAATGCAAGACATGTATTTAGTACTATGGTTAAAATTGTTTATTTTTCTGTAAATATAAGGTGTAAGTGGCAGCAAATATCTCAAGTATAACACATAATCATGGATAATTTCTTTTTAAAGAGAGTTAGAAGTAGATTAGTTTAATATTTTAAATTTTTCATATGCTCTAAGGTAATCAGGGTATGTTGTTGCTTTGACTAACAGCAAATCCCAATGTTAGAATTTACATTGAAATTTTAACTACATATTTTTGCTTAATGAAATATTAGGCGATTTATTTCCATCTGTTCTAAACTCTTAGTCTTGATGGATAGAGTTACCTGATACTTGTTGTTGGTGGGAGGTAATAGGTATTCCGTGGAATGAACATTTGAACTTGTAATCCAGGAAGTTAATGTATGAACTGTGAGATAAATCAAACTCCGTACTTTCAAGTACTTGACAATCCATAGGTAGAACTACATTTTCTTATCCTCGAGTATACTCGAGAGCTTGATTTGTACAATGCATTTATGCTTTAATACATTACTTGGTTGATAAAATGTCCAAAAGAAATCATGTCCAAGTAGTACATGTATTCATAGAAATTACGAGCAAGTTGGAAATGGATGGGTTGTTTCCATATGGGATCCAGGGATAAGTTTGAAGAACCTGAAGTTAGCAGATCAAATGAATAATTTTCAAGAAATTTTGATGGATATGAGTAGCATGTTTTGTTTGCATAGATCAATGGAGGCAGTGGTTTATGCATTAATGTTCCCCTGTTGTGCATATTAATTCTATTTGTTCAGTTGCTACCTTTCCAACATATAGTCATGTTTACAGTGGTATAGGAGGCCTCTCCTCACACGTAACAACATCGTCCAATACGTTACTTTGGGGCACAATTGATTTGCCTGTACGCAATTGGTCTGTTGATGACTAGAAACTTGTAACTGCTAGAGCAAAGGTTCCCTAGACTACACAAAAATTGTATCTGATACTTTCTGCACAAAAATTGTATGTGATACTTTCTGCACAAAATTTGTAAGATCATTCATTCTGTAGATACTTTTGCAAATTCTCTGACATGACTGAATGTGGTAAATTCTAAGGTAATTATATTATTAGTTATGTGTATGGTTACTTGATCAACTTTATTACAAGCTTAAGTGTTTACTTGTGCACACCAAAGTTGGAGGGCATAGATGCCAGATGGAACCCAAGTTAAACAACATGTTTATGTATTATATATGCCTTTCTTTTAAGGGCATCTCCAACCCAAGCACCAAATTTGGTATCAACACTATTTTTTGTGTAATCAACTCCAACCCACTGCACCAAATTTTACACCAAAAAGGAATATATTTCTCTCTCTTCATTATTATTATATTATTTCTTATTTCATTTATATTTTCTTATTTCATAAAATAAATTCTTTCTAAAACATTCACCATATATAATTCATATTATTTCCTTTTATGGTCTAAGTAGTATTTAATGACTTACCGGACTTGATGAAGACTTGCCATTGTTCTTTTAGGATTTAATGACTTAATTGGTTTGGCACCAGTAGGGAAGACCTAATAAAAATATAATGTCTGTAGTAACCAAGTTTCTTCTTACAATCCTCATATTCATATTCATGTACCTCTCAGAAACCCCATTAGCAGAACAAAGACAGCAGTGTGTTCCTTCTAGTTGTGGGCATATTCATAACATCAGTTATCCCTTTCGATTGAAAAGTGATCCAAAGCACTGTGGCCTTGAAAATTATGAATTGAGCTGTGAAGGAGATCACACCATATTACCAATACCTCCACGTAATTGGCATGGATCACTGAACTACTACTATGTTCAAGCCATCAATTACGACAACTCCACCATCCGCCTTGTAGATCCTAGTATAAGAGAACAAGCTATTTGCTCTCTTCCTCAGAATTCGTTTACGATTTACACTGCCCTTTTTTATTTTGATTCTCGTATATATACAATGTCTGATGATGTTGATTTAACAGTACCAATCACTCTCTTCAGCTGTCCATTTGCCTTAAATTCTCCAGTCTTTGTGGAAATCACTAATTGTCTCAACAGGAGTTATGCTTCCAATGTTTCTTCTGATTCATTTAAGGGACACACATATGCAACCATGACTAAATTATCACCATCCGATTTGAAAGTCGGGTGTACTGTAGACCTCATGTCAATGACTTCATGGCGTATTCAGGATGCAAATGCCAACATTTCTATTTTAAGTTTGCATAATGCTTTGGCATATGGATTTGAGCTTTCATGGTTTACAAACGTTTATTGCGGCAAGTGCCCCGAGAATTATGTATGTGTAGGGGAAAATTCAACTGCTGTTCGTTGTGTGGATTACAGCTGCAAAGCTTACAATTTTAGATTCTTCAAAACGCCGTGTGGTAAGATTGTTCCCAATGTCATTTTGCTGCAAAGCTTACAATTTTAGCAATTTTTCTGTGCAAGTCTTAAATGTTTTTTTTTTCTTCTTTCGGTTCTGTATTCTCTTTGGATGACCACTATCAAGTTGAACAAAAACATGTTCTCCGTGTTCTTGCAAGTAAGCAGTCGTACTTCTATTGTCAATTCTGTTTTATTTAACGGTAACTAGTTGCAAGTTAGATTAACTTGTTGGTGTTTTTGCAGCAATCATCCCATGGATACTTCCCATAGCTGGTAACTCACATCTTTCGTCTTTCAAATATATTACTAGAAATCATTCTAATGTCGAAATGAAGCAGACATTGGTGGTTGAATTTTTAAATTAACCGTTCACAAACTTTTCTTGTTTATTTGTGATGGTTGTACACAGGGTTTAGCATTGTGACAAGAGTCATTCTATTTCCATGCATAGTTGTATTTCTAATGATTGAGTTACGAAGAAGGCATTTGTCGATTTATGATGCAATTGAAAGTTTCCTGCACGGTGAGAACAATTTCGCGCCCATTAGATATTCCAACTCCAACATAAGAAAGATGACTAGGAACTTTAAAGAGAAACTAGGCCAAGGAGGTTATGGTTCAGTATATAAAGGCAAGCTTCAAAGTGGTCCTAATGTAGCAGTGAAGATCTTGAGCAAGCCCAAAGCTGATGGGCAAGACTTCATCAACGAGATTGCCACAATCGGGAGGATTCATCATGTTAACATAGTACAACTTATTGGCTATTGTGCGGAGAGATGTAAGCGTGCTCTCGTGTATGACTTCATGCCTAACGGATCACTTGAAAAGTACATCACACCGCGAGAAAGAGGAGGTGATCAACTGTTAAGTTGGGACAGAAAGTTTGAAATTGCTCTTGGAGTTGCTCGAGGTATTGAATACTTGCATCGAGGTTGTGACTTTCAGATTCTACATTTTGACATCAAGCCACACAACATACTTTTGGATGAGAATTTCATTCCAAAACTGTCTGATTTTGGTCTTGCAAAATCATACCCGACGGATAAGAGCATTGTTACCTTAACAGCAGCCAGGGGAACAATTGGTTATGTAGCTCCAGAGTTGATCAACAGAAGCATTGGTCCAATATCTTATAAGGCAGATGTCTATAGCTTTGGAATGTTACTCATTGATATCTTAGGCTTGAAAACAAACTCGGCAGTCAGAGAGGATATGTCAAGCCAGTACTTCCCACATTGGATTTATGATCAACTCAACAAGGGAAAGGAGATTGAAGTACTAGACGAGACACATGAAGACATAAAGAAGCTGACTTTAGTTGCTTTGTGGTGCATACAAATGAATCCACTTGATCGTCCCTCAATGACTAAAGTAGTAGAAATGCTTGAAGGCGAATTACAAGCACTGCAAACGCCTCCCAGGCCCTCTGAATCGCGGGAACCATGTTCATTGGAATTCAATCTAATTAGTTCTTCAATAAGCTCAACTGAGTCTGTGAAGTTGCTTGAGAGTTGTTCTGATTCTGCAAAAATAGACGTAATTGTTGCTTGACATCATATATTATGTACGTAATTCGTGTTGTTCTGAATAAAATATCAAGTTCATGCTAAATTTTATGATGTTTATTCAAAAAATAAAGTTTGTGACAGACATTTGAATTTGTCACAAACATTTAATTGATAAAATGAAAATGTGTGATGAAACAAGTAATGTGAAGTGATTAGTTCTAAGAGAATGATCCTCAATGGAGTTTTTACTTGTTTAATTATCATATATTAATATTCCATCACAAAATGGAACTTGTGATGAATTTTTCCAGTCACAAATTTTAACCAGTTTGGATGGTGTTACGTATTGTTTCATATTGTATTATTTTAATGATATCAGTCACTTTTGAATAGATTGTATTCTGCCAATTGAGGAGGGAGAAAGGCGAGCACAGAGTGAGAGAAATTTGCTATAAAATTTTAACTATAACTATGAATTATAATTCTTTTAAACTATAGTTAATGTAAAGTAAATACATATCACAAGTTTATCTTACGTGCTATATAATTTTTCCTGAAGAAGAATAAGATTATTAAATAATAAGCAAAAACAAAATGAGAAGAAAACACTAAGGTAATGACATGATCGCGTTAAATCAGTTGTTACACATTATGAGACTTTTTGTTGTTATCTAATTATGAATTTGAACGATACGCTACAATAAAATATAAATAACAATCAAAACAAACATAACATTTAAACTAACAATACAATACTAATCGGTAACAACCATCCATACAATGCTATTGTAAAGAGTTCAAGAATTTAGTTGTATTAAAGGTGAAGAAAACATGATATGACACAACCCAAAATTAATTAACACAGAAAAGTTTTCTTCATGACTCATTAATATCAAGAAAAATTGGTTTGTAAAGTTGTCTTCTTTATTATTATTATATTAGCAAATTTCCAATATTGTGTTGAATATGCTAATATTAGACCTCCCCCCCCCCCCCCCCCTTTATTTTTTCCACACGTTATTGTTCCAATATTTTTATATCAATCTTTAATTTGGTATCATATATTTTTTGGCCAATTAATGACAAAGAAGACTTTAAGTCAACTAATGGCATAGAATTCTTTATCTTGAAAGTGCTGCCACTACTTAGTCAAGGAGTCCAAATAAAGAAGTGATTTTAACTTACATTAAAAAAAATAAAAATCATGTGGTGTTCTAATTTTGTTGTCCCATTTAAGTAACATTTGTTATAAAAATTACACGAATATTTAGTCATGGCTGAAATTTTAACGAATTTTAATTTGTGTTTTAGATATGTATAATTGAGCATAGATTTATATATATATTTTTTAAAATAATCAAAAGGATGCTACATGGAATAGGGTTAGGAGTTGAGTCCTAGATCGAAGTCTGGATCGGGAGTCGAGGCTCTGATCAGAGTTGGGGTGGATCGGGAGTCTGGTCCTGAGTTGGATTGAGATCGTAGTCCGGATCCGGATCTGGAGTTGGGCTCTTGTTAGGGTCAAGAGTCGAATTCTCGGTCAAGATTGGATAGTGAGGTTGAAAAAGAATTTTGATATGATTTATTTACTAGTACCCATTAATACCAAGAAAATTGATTTGTGAAGTTGTCTTCATTATTAATAGCAAATTTCCAATATTGTGTTGAATATTCTAATATTGGGCCCTTATTTTTTTCCACACGTTATTTTCTCAATTGTGTTATATCAATCTTTAATTTGGTATCATAATTTTTCTTTGTCTAAAAATGACAGAAGAAGACTTTAAGTCAACTAATGGTATAGAATTCTCTAGTTGCAAGAAGTCCAAACAAAGAAGTGAACCAATAACTTAGATATAAAAATTTCATGGGGTGTACTAATTTTTCTGCCCCATTTAAGTAATATTTGTTATAGCTTTTATTATTTATTATTTATTTTTTACAAATATTCAATATTAGGAAATTTTAACTTAAATATAAAAATCTAGAGTTAGGTTTTCGGTCGAAATTCAGATTGGGAGTTGGATCTCGACTCGGGGTTGATCCAAGGTAAGGGCAGAGAGTTGGATCTCAAATTGGAGTTAGGATTGGGTTCATGGTCCGAACTGAGAGTCGGATCGAGAGTTGAGTCCTATACAAGCAGAGTTCATATTATATTTTTGCATACATACAGAGTTGTTATTGTATTTCTAAATACACAGAGTTGACATCATGTTTTTAAACAACTTTTCCTTATATTGCACTTGCTTTTAAATTATTTTATATTGAGATGAGTTCAGTTATGTTGAGTTAAGTTGAGTCAGGTAATTTCTTCAGATTCTCTTTCATGCTTATGTTGTTTTAGCATTCCAACTATCACATACTCGTACATTCAATGTACTGATGTCAGTTGGCTTGCATCGTCTTATGATGCAAGCATAGATAACTAGGATCGGCATCCAGTGCCCCGTTGATCCAGTTGAGCACTCCAGAGTCAGTGGTGAGCCTCCTTGCATTCTGGAGGACTCCTTTATTGCTTTTAGTTCTTTTCAGTATTTCATTTGTTAGGATGATTGGGGGTCATGTCCCGACATCCATCTCAGTTGTTTAGAGGCTTCATAGATAGTTAGTAGTCAGGTGTCTTTACATTATCATTTCAAATGTTGAGACTTGAGTTGTCATTTTGGCCAAGTTGAATGTTGACTATTAAACATTCTGAGTTATTTTACTAAAGTCCATTTGATCATAATAAAAATGTTTAGATTCTTCCGCTGAGTCAGTAAGTCAGGCCAAAGGTTCGCTTGAGACCAGCAATTGTCTTCGAGTGCCGGCCATGTCCAGGATGTAGGCCCGGGGCGTGACAGATAGGGAGGTTGAAAAAGGAATTTTGGTATCACAGAGCTTTGACTAATTTACTAGTACTCATTAATACCAAGAAAATTGATTTGTCAAGTTGTCTTCATTATTAATAGCAAATTTCCAATATTATGTTGAATATTCTAATATTGGCCCTTTTTTTTCCACACGTTATTTTTTCAATTGTGTTATATCAATCTTTAATTTGGTATCATAATTTTTCTTTGAAGAAGACTTTAAGTCAACTAATGGTATAGAATTCTCTAGTTGCAAGAAGTCCAAACAAAGAAGTGAACCAATAACTTAAATATAAAAATTTCATGGGGTGTACTAATTTTTCTGCCCCATTTAAGTAATATTTGTTATAGCTTTTATTATTTATTATTTATTTTTTACAAATATTCAATATTAGGAATTTTTAACTTCAATATAAAAATCTAGAGTTAAGTTTCCGGTCGGAATTCAGATTGGGAGTTGGATCTCGACTCGGGGTTGATCCAATGTAAGGGTCGAGAGTTGGATCTCAAATTGGAGTTAGGATTGGGTTCATGGTCCGAACTGAGAGTCGGGTCGAAAGTTGAGTCCTAGATCAGGGTCTGAATTGAGGCGGGAGTCGGGTCTTCGATAAGGATCGGGGCGAGGTCCGGTCATCGATTGGGATCGAGGTAGGGAGTCGGGTTCTAGGTTGGGTCGAGGTCAAAGTTGGGTTCCAGATCAATAGTTGGGTCTGGAGTTGGATTTAGAAACCAGGTTGTTGATTAGGGTCAAGAGTCGGATCCTCAGTCAGGGTTGGGTAGTTAGGTTGAAAAAGAGTTTTTGGAATATGATTCCCTTACTTTATATAGGAAAGTCCTCTTTTTTCCCCTTAAAGCAAACATAACATTTAAACTAACAATACAATACTAATCGGTAACAACCATCCATACAATGCTATAGTAAAGAGTTCAAGAATTTAGTTGTATTAAAGGTGAAGAAAACATGATATGACACAACCCAAAATTAATTAACACAGAAATGTTTTCTTCATGACTCATTAATATCAAGAAAAATTGGTTTGTAAAGTTGTCTTCTTTATTATTATTATATTAGCAAATTTCCAATATTGTGTTGAATATGCTAATATTAGACCCCCACCCCCCCCCCCCGATTTATTTTTTCCACACGTTATTGTTCCAATATTTTTATATCAATCTTTAATTTGGAATCATATATTTTCTTTGGCCAATTAAGGACAAAGAAGACTAGTCAACTAATGGCATAGAATTCTTTATCTTGAAAGTGTTGCAACTACCTAGTCAAGGAGTCCAAATAAAGAAGTGAAGTTTAACTTACATTAAAAAAAAAAATCATGTGGTGTTCTAATTTTGTTGTCCCATTTAAGTAACATTTGTTATAAAAATTGCACGAATATTTAGTCATGACTGAAATTTTAACGAATTTTAATATGTGTTTTAGATATGTATAATTGAGCATAGATTTATATATAAAAAAATAATCAAAAGGGTGCTAAATGGAATAGGGTTCGGAGTTGAGTCCTAGATCGAAGTCTGGATCGGGAGTCGAGTCTCTGATCAGAGTTGGGGTGGATCGGGAGTCTGGTCCTGAGTTGGGTCGAGATCGTAGTCCGGATTTGGATCTGGAGTTGGGCTCTTGTTAGGGTCAAGAGTCGAATTCTCGGTCAAGATTGGATAGTGAGGTTGAAAAAGAATTTTGATATGATTTATTTACTAATACCCATTAATATCAAGAAAATTGATTTGTGAAGTTGTCTTCATTATTAATAGCAAATTTCCAATATTGTGTTGAATATTCTAATATTGGGCCCTTTTTTTTTTTCCACACGTTATTTTTTCAATTGTGTTATATCAATCTTTAATTTGGTATCATAATTTTTCTCTGTCTAAAAATGACAGAAGAAGACTTTAAGTCAACTAATGGTATAGAATTCTCTAGTTGCAAGAAGTCCAAACAAAGAAGTGAACCAATAACTTAAATATAAAAAATTCATGGGGTGTACTAATTTTTCTGCCCCATTTAAGTAATATTTGTTATAGCTTTTGTTTTTTATTTTTTATTTTTTTACAAATATTCTATATTAGGAAATTTTAACTTAAATATAAAAATCTAGAGTTAGGTTTCCGGTCGGGATTCAGATTGGTAGTTGGATCTTGACTCGGGGTTGATCCAAGGTAAGGGCCGAGAGTTGGATCTCAAATTGGAGTTAGGATTGGGTTCATGGTCCGAACTGAGAGTTGGGTCGGGAGTTGA